GAGACAAGAACCTTTCCCTAGAGCTGGCACCCCGAATTTGAACTTCTAACCTTCAAACTACGTGAGAATAAACTGTTAAAGCTTAAAAAAAAAAAAAACTGAAAGATGATTAGTACCTCAGAGAATTATTATTTTGTCAAGAAATCCAATCCATGAAGCAGAAACCACTAATTACTCCCATTACAAATGAATTCCTACAATTTCAGGAGTTTATCTAGCCTATTGCTATTGATTCTAGTCTCTTCATAATATAGTATTATTTAAAACTTAATTTATACATCTCTAAATGTGTGCACTTGCATGTGCATCTTGGTAATCACTTTGCTTTCAATATTAATAGAATGATTGAACAGAGTCTCATAAAAAATGGTTAAGCTAGTTTTGAATTACTTTTGGTGGCCTAATAAATTTAGATCCCTCTCGCTATTTGCCTGCTAATGCAGCACTGGTATGCCAATGTTAAATGTGCAGTCTGCTGTTCAGGTGTGACATTATCCCGTTCTCACATGCCAATATTCTTCCTTACATTCTAAGATGATCCATTAATACTGCACTACAGTTGTAGTAGATGAAACATATTTAAAAAAAAAAAAAAGTAATTTGGTTTACACAGAAACTGTTACCAAGACAAACCTTCTTGATGAAGTTCCAAGAACATTAAATCATAAGAAATTATTTCAGCAGCTGGTGAAAGTTGAGTGTACATAATACAAGACATCTGGCTGTCTCTGCATTTTCAGTTCATTTAAAAAGTATAAACACATTAAAACACTGAAATGTTTGATATATTATAATACTGCTTGCTCCTCAAGAGTGTTGAAGTGGCTGGTCTCTTGACTGCGTCCAAGGCTTATTTACCATCCAAAAGGATTTACTATTTCCATCCCCCTTAACATCATCAAGACATTTATCGATAAAGGTAAAAATGGACTCATTTAGGACACATATTTGGTAATGAAATAAATGTAACAGAAGCAGTGCTATTTTAAAATGAAATCTGGAATATGTGAAAAACATCTCACACTGACATGTAAGAAGTAGACAAAACATGTGTTTCCCTTCCCTCCCCATTCATTTATTTCCCTTCTCTTCCCATATTATTTTAGTTTTAAAATTCTACAAAGGAGTTTGTATTTGTTCAACAGATTTACTGTTGAACACAGACCGTGTGCTGTGCACAGACTGTGTAACACACACTGGGCTAAGGACAATGGGAAAAGTATGAAAATCATGGTGATTTAATGCAGGTTATGATCATAATGAAGTACATCTACCTATGAAGACAAACATAGGCCAATGGACAATTAGGTAATTGTCATTAATGCCCTAAGTAATAACAACTATAGAAATTCAAAGAGACAGTTGCAAAATAATATTCCTACTTGGTTGTTCTTAATTGGCATTGAGTCATTTGTGGCTCGTGATGGCCCCAAGTGTGCAGAGTAGAACTGCAACTTTACAGAAACAGATGGCCAGGCCTGTCTTCCGAGGCATCTTTTTTCTAGTAGTCGAGTACATAAGCATTTGGGCCACCCAGGAAGCCATCCTCCTATTACTGCTGTTTTTTTCTAGACTCTCTGGCTTTATCTAACTCTTAAATGGAGATAGTACCCTGAATTCCAGCCTAAATGCTGTTATTTGTCCCTCTACCACATTCTCCATAGATTATTCCATCTATTCTCATCACGCCAATGATCAACTGCATTTGGACTACAAGAGAAACCATTTTCTAAATTCAGATCACCACTACATTCCAAACCCACTCAACTATCTGTTGATCAGACATCTTTATTTTGACATATTAAGAGTCAAAAAATCTAATACATACTAACTTAGATGCAATAAAAGGAAGAATATAAGAAAAATATTGTTTACTTGTACATACAGGAAAAAAAAAAAAAAAAACCTGAAAGAATGGATAAGAAACTAATAAAAGACGGTTGCCAGCTCAGGTATGAGCAGTCTCTCACTTCTTGTATCTCCCATCTCACCTGACAATGAATTTCCATGTTTAAAGGATGATTTTTGTTAAGACTTATAGCAGAAGAATTGCATTCAACATATGTTGCAGAAATCTAACACAGGTGCATTTTTTCATGTAAGATGCTATCCTGAAGATAAGTAATCCAGGGATGGTATAATAATTCCATAATGTCATCCTTATCTCTGGGATATTGATGGCTCCTAAGATGCTATTCTTTCTATGTGGTACTCATTACAACAGTTTCAACATGCACTGTCTCCACATTCCAGGAAGACAAGAAAGGGCAAGAAGCAAAAGGTTAAAGGACACACACTCTACAAGTGCATGACTTCTACTTAAATCTCATTAACCCAAACTATGTCACGTGACCACCTTTAGTTGCCTGTGTATCAGAAAATTAAGCTAGGCACACATTACCACACCAAACAATGTCTGAGTTCTGTTAGAAAGGGAGGGGAGAATGGACATCAGGCTTGCAAATAACCATGTTTGTCATAAGACTTCAAGTTGGCACGGGAAATTTTCCCCTGTGATGTCCCCGAGATTACGATCCTATCAGGCAATTCCTCGGTTGTCCTGAGCCCTACTTTCCAGCCCCAGCAGTTACAACCAGGTTTGGTGGTTCTCACTTCCAAATCTATCTGTAAATTACAAATGCTGCACTCGAGCACAACCAAGACCAGGGCATACTCCTTTCTACTGTACCACAGGCAAATGGCACATTTCCAACCATCCAGATTCAGGTTCTGGGGCGATAAACTTTAAAGTCTACTTCTTCATTTCCAAGTTAATTCCTTTACAAATAAGTGGTTGAAAATTGGTTCTTTTGGAGCAAAATAAATAAAGATAGATATTCCAATGGTTTCTGACCCTCCAAAGGGTCACAGCACACACACAAAAATATACAGTGTATCTGTGGCATTAAAATTTCATTGGGGGAAGGGGCAATTAGGGAGAAAATGTCTAAAAAGGCACTTCAATACATACACAGTACTCCAATAGTAGTAAGAATAATCTACAAATGGATACACAGATAGACACACAAGCTAAACAGGTGTGGGCAGGTGAATGGAACTATACTCACAAATATTTGTAAGTTTGACAGAGACTATTTCTACCTATGTATTCATATGTACTGCAAATATATCCATGGATATAGTAGAGCACACAGGGGGCAAAGTTATGTTAACTTCTTAGCCATAACAAATACCTTGAAAAAATGAGTTGCTGGGCCTGGGGACTCAAGACCATAATCAAGGTCAATTGGCCTAACATACTTCATGCAAAGTGTTCTACACCTTACTTCACTGAGTAATGACTGGGGTCTTAAAAGCCTGTGAATGGCCAACTAAGGTGCAACTATTGGTCTCTTCCCATCCTGAGCAAAGAAGAGTGAAGACAGTCAAAGATGTATGGAAACAATTAGTCCAAAGGACTAATAAACCAAAAACCCTCTCCCATCAAGTAGATTCTAATTCATAGAGACCCCACTGGGTTTCCAGGGCTGTAATTCTTTATAGAAATAAAATGCCTCATCTTCCTCCCAAGGAGTAGCTGGTAGGTTTGAACCACTAGTCTGGTTAGCAGCCACATGCCTTCCCCACTATGCCACCAGAGCTCCTTTGAAGAATAAATAGGCCATGCAAACCCCTGCCTCCACAACCCTGACACTAGAACAACTAGATGGTGCCCAGCTACCAATGCCAACCACTCTGAAAAGGATCACAGAAGGAGACCCTGGAAAGAGTGGGAGAAAAATGTGAAACTCAAACAATAAAAAAAAAGAACAGGCTAACTGTCTGATACAGACTGGTGAAACCCCTGAGACTATGGCCTTCAGACACCCTTCAAGTCTAGAACTGAACTCACCCCCATAGCTCAACTTTCAGCCAAACAACAGACAGGCCTCAAGGGGAACAATGGCACTGAGAAAGCAGAACAATCAACCATATGAAATCAAAAGGGCAGCATTTGTCCAGGGACAAAACTCAGAAGGTAAGAAGGGATAAGAAAGGAGGAGGACTATTTGATAGTCAACACAAGAAGGAAGTGGGAAGAGAACTGTTACATTGTGGAGACTGCACCCAATGTCACAAATCAGTATGTGTATGAATTGTTGAATGCAAGACCTACTTGCTCTGTACACTTTCACCCAAATCACAATAAAAAGTTAAAAAAAATAAAAATAAAAAGGCATCTCAAGGGGACAATGATGGGGGGCCACTGAGAATCACTGCTTTCGAAGAAACAAACTGGATTACATTTTCAATCAGATAGGAAATGCACTGAGCTGTCGTGACAGAAGCCCAGTTACAGGAGCTTAAACAAATAAGTCTATTTTTCTCACATGAAAAGTCTGAGGCAGGTTGCTAATTGATGGCTTTGGTTTAGCAGCTCAGTGATGTCAAAGCAGAGTTACCTGTGAGCTTCGGTGCCAAGATGGCCACACAATGCAGAAGAGCTCATCCACATTGCAGACAGCAGGAAGAGGTATGTCAAGAGCAAAACAACGGGCCTCCTAGCTGAAGTCAGTTCCCCTTGAAGAGCTTTAATGGGAAGTCCCACTTGAGGGCTTCCCTGCACACCTCACCAACTACCTCTAGCTGCAAGCAAGGCTGGCAAGGGAAATGGAGAGAATACTAGATGGACACCTAGCTGTCCCGCCACATAAGGGTCAGTGCCAAACCATCAGAGCAACTGTCTTTTAACTGCCAAGTAAACTTTGTCTTAAATTCCTGTTTACAAAGGGCTGTTAGTCAATCTAATACTGTGCCTACCACATGTTTAACGTTGAGGAAGCCTTTGGTACTTTCTCCTTAACATAAAATTCTTGCTTTGATGATGGATAGGCAGGTAAGTATTATTGGACAACCCAGATAAAAGAACTCTCTGGCTGTATAATCCTTCAAAGGAACACATAAAAGTACCAGGACCCACAGATCCTTCAACATGTGATCAATTATAATCTTCAATGTACAAAAAAGATAACACACATTCTGGCTTAGCCAGAACTTACAAGAGTGGAATATCCGTGATTAACTGCATCAAACAGCAGATCAATTCTTCCAAAAGATCTTCTGATTCAGAACCTAGTAAGACAACATAAAAAGTTTCTTAATAAGTATTAAATAGAATAGAGGTATTTAGAAGGTAGTCCTTCATTTCTAATGAGAATAAGAACAGTTACAATTACGTAAACTCAAACACTAATGTTGACCTCGGAATAAAATCCAAATCATGAGTAAGTTAGTACAGGAAATTTAAACACCAACTATTACTTATATGGCTGTTAGAGCTGGAAGATATCATACAGCTACTCTAGGCTGGTAGTTTTCAAATTTCTTATACTACACTATTTCTTCAAATGAAATCTTACATCAAAGGCAAATTAATGAAACATATAAAAATCAAGCTGCTCTCCATGCTTTGGTTAGCTCCCTCCCCCTCTAAATATCTGACCTTACCCTTGATCTTCTTGATGGGTAAGAACCCCTGTGGCTCCTCAGATCACAGACTGAAAACCAGTCATTGAAACCAATCACATCTTTTAGAAAGAGCAGAAGATAAAATGGCTTTCCCACGTGTCATAACAAGTGGCAATGACAGGATGCACAGTACCATTCCAGTAAAAATGCTCCTCTGTCCCAACCAATTTGCTCTACTTAAGTGACCCCCCTCCTTCTTTTCAAATCCAATTCAAGTATTACAGGACTTCTGGCTTCTGGACACTTTTGACACCTGCTTCTTGAGGAAATTCTTTCCTCTCTTAGTTCATATGACACCTTATACCTAACCAAACTTCTTTCTCTGTTCCTTTCTAGCACCTGTTTCCTCAGCACACCCTTCATATTGGTGAGTTCTGCCAGTGACTTTGTTCTCATTCCCTAAGCTCCCCGTGATCAATCATCGCTTATATTATGATGATTCCTAAAGCTTCAGTATTCCTCTGGACTAGAATTCATAGTTTGATGCCCATTAGCCTGCTGGCTCTCTCCACCTAGATGTATCATCCAGTATCTCCAGCTCAACACATTCATAACTGAATCTTCTCCCCCAACACTTCAAATACATTTGACTCATTAAACATCAATGACAAAGACAGATAAATTGTGGGATGACATCAAGAACATAATAAATGTTAAAACCAAAAGGCTATTAAAAATACAAAAAAGAAAAAAAAGACCAAAATAGATGTCAGAAGAATCTCTGAAACTGAACAGAGATTAGCTAAAGCAAATGGAAGAAAGATGAAGTAGAAGAGTTGAACAGAAGATTTCAAGGGGCAGGCTGAGAGGGCAAAGTATTATAAAAAGGAGTGCAAAGATCTAGAGTTAGAAAAACAAAAGGAAATAACATGCTTGGCATTTCTCAGGCTGAAAGAACCAAAGAAAACATTTAAGTCTCAAGTTGCAACTATGGGCAAAATACTGAACGAAGCAGGAAACATCAAAAGAAGAAGGAAGGAATACACAGAGGCACAGTAGCAAAAAGAACTGGTCAACGTTCAAACATTTCACGAGGCAACATACGCTCAAGAACTAATGGTACTTAAGGAAGAAGTCCAAGCTGCACTGAAAGAACTTGCAAAAAACAAGGCTCCAGGAATTGATGGAATACCCACTGAGATGTTTCAAAAAAGAATGTAACATTAGAAGCCCTCACTCATTTATGCCAAGAAATTTAGAAGACATCAGCATGGCCAACCAATTGGAAGAGACCCATATTTGTGCCCATTCCAGAAAAAGATGATCCAAAAGAATGCAGAAATTATCAAACACTATCATTAATACCACACATAAGTGAAATTCTGCTGAAAGTAATTCAAAAACTGTTGCAGTAATTCATCGATAGAGGACTGCCAGAAATTCAAGCTAGTTTCAAAAGAGGACGTGGAAAGAAAGATATCATTGCTGATGTCAGAAGGATCTTGGCTGAAAGCAAAGAACACCGGAAAGATGTTTACCAGTGCTTTAATGACTATGCAAGGGCATTCAACTTTGTGGATCATAACAAATTATGGATAACATGCAAAGAATGGGAATTCCAGAACACTTAATTGTGTTCATTAGAAGCATGTACACAGATCAAAAGACAGACATTCAAAAAGAACAAGGAATATTGTATGGTTTAAAATCAGGAAAGATGTGTGTCAGGGTTGTATCCTTTCACCACACTTATTTAATCTGTGTGCTGAACAAATAATCCTGGAATCTGGACCATATAAAGAAGTTGGCAGCACCAGGATTGGAGGAAGATTCATTAACATCTTGCAATATGCAGATGACACAACTTTGCTTTCTGAAAATGAAGACAACTTGAAACACTTACTGATGAAGATCAAAGACTACAGCCTTCAGTATAGGTTACACTTCAATATAAAGAAAACAAAAATCCTCACAACTGGATCAGTAAGCAACATCATGATAAATGGAGAAAAGGCTGAAGTTGTCAAGAATTTCATTTTACGAGAGTTCCGGCAAGATGGCGGACTAGGCAGAAGGATTGCACAGACCCTCTTCAACAAAGAAAAGGGAAACCAATTAATACAGACACAGAAGATAATCGTGGACCCCTGAGTCTTGAAGGGAAGGATACAGAATTGGACTAAACCCCAATTAGCAGAAGAATTTGCGTGAAAATACCAAAAAAAGGAGACATACGGAGCT